GGAGTCTATTCCACATTTTCACAGCTCTCACTTTGAAGAAACCTTTCCGTGTTTGGAGGTTAAATCTCTTTTCCTCCAGATGTAAAGAGTGCCCCCTTGTCCTCTGTGATGACCTCAGGGTGAATAACTCTACACCCGAATAACTCACTACATCATGTTCACTATATGAATATCCACTGATGTATTTATACATGGAGATCATATCCCCCCTTATGTATTATACATGGAGATCATATCCCCCCTTATGTATTATACATGGAGATCATATCCCCCCTTATGTATTATACATGGAGATCATATCCCCCCTTATGTATTATACATGGAGATCATATCCCCCCTTATGTATTATACATGGAGATCATATCCCCCCTTATGTATTATACATGGAGATCATTTCCCCCCTTATGTATTATATACATGGAGATCATATCCCCCCCCCCTTATGTATTATACTTATGTATTATACATGGAGATCATATCCCCCCCCCTTATGTATTATACATGGAGATCATATCCCCCCTATGTATTATACATGGAGATCATATCCCCCCTTATGTATTATACACGGAGATCATATCCCCCCTTATGTATTATACATGGAGATCATATCCCCCCTTATGTATTATACATATACATGGAGATCATATCCCCCCCTTAATCTCCTCTTCTCATTATACATGAGAGAGAATAAATTCAGTTCCTCTAATCTTCCTTCATAGCTGATCTCCTCCATGCCTCTTATCAGTTTGGTTGCCCTTCTCTGTACTTTCTCCAGTTCCCCAATGTTCTTTTTGTGAATTGGTGCCCAAAACTGAACTGCATATTCCAGATGAGGTCTTACTAATGATTTGTACCGGGGTAATATGATATCTCTCTCTCTGGAGTCTATACCTCTTTTAATACAAGAGAGGATTTTGCTTGCTTTAGAAACCGCAGCTTGGCATTGCATGCCATTATTAAGCTTGTGATCTACCAGAACTCCCAGATCCTTCTCCACCATTGATTCCCCCAGTTGTAGCCCCCCAGTATGCATGCATATTCTTAGCCCCAAAGTGCATAACCTTACATTTGTCAACATTAAACCTCATTTGCCACATAGTTGCCCAATTAAACTAATTTAAAAAGAAAAAGAAAAAATACATATATCTATAAGTGTGTGTGTGCTTGGCCACTAAAACAAGCCTTAGTTGTGGAGACATGGATACCACTAGACCTCTGAAGGTATGTTGTGGTATCTGGCAAAAAGCCAGCAGTAGTAGATCCTTTAAGTCCTGGAAGTTGTGAGGTGTGGCCTCCATGAATCTGACTTGTTTTTTCCAGCACTTCCCACAGAGGTTCGATTGAATTTTAGATCTGAAGAGTTTGGAGGCCAAGTCAATACCTCAAACTCATTGTTGTTTTCCTCAAACCATTCTTGAACCATTTTTGCAGTGTGGACGGGTTCATTTTTCTGATGTAAGAGGCCACTGCCATCAAAGAATATCTTTTCCATAAAAGAGTGTACTTGGACAGCAACAGTGTTTTGGTGTCAAGTACTATCCACATGAATGGCAGTAGCCAAGGCTTCTCAGCAGAACATTGCCCAAAGCATCACATTTGGTACTTTTTTAGGTGGTCAGGCAGGAGCCTTTCACTGAATGTTGAGTTAGGAAAGCAGTCCATATCAGGGGCGGACTGACCATTTGGAAACTCTGGCACTGCCCGAGGGCCTGGAGTCAGTAGGGGGCCCCATAAGATGCCCCTGGTACCTTTTTCATAGACTTTTTTGAGTTTGGGCAAGGACACAGGGGCCCCATGATCCCCTATTGCCCGGGGGCCCCATGAGTTGTCAGTCCGCCCCCGGTCCATACTGTAAGTCTTACAATTGCATATTTAGTAGTGTGGCTGGAGTTGCCCTTTAAAACACTTGATGAAGAGATGTAGGGTTAGTCAGGGAGACTTTATCTTGTTTTCAAGTCGCATCCATAAAAGGTTTCGGAGTTTACAAAGAATCTGCACAATGCCTAGAGACAGTGTTGTTGATACCCCATACTTTTGAGCAACACCTAATCTGCAGTTGCTGTGTGTAGACGACTCTGAGCAGAGTGTCCTGTCATGTCCTGATAAATGGTGTGAACAAAGAGCAGAGTCGACACCATCACCTTTTTTAAAAACCTTACCGAAGTGATGAACGGATAAAAATAAGTTGTAGCCATTTTTGTTTTCTATTATTATTAATTGTAATTTTTATTTTTATGCTGGGGCACTGTGCAGAAGGCCGCAGTCATTTGGAGATGAAAGTAATGAATTGTAACATATTTTCAGTAGTGCCTGTTGCAGATTGTGAAAGCCTACAACTCCCATAAGGCTATGCTGGCCAGCAGGCAGCCAGCATCAGACGGAGGACACTGGTCTTCCCTCCAGGCTTTTTATACGTGTGTGATTTGTGGCAGATGATTAACCAGAACTGCAGTCAATCATACATTTGTTTTTACTGCCAAATCTGACTACTGCAAAATATCAATTGGATGTTTTAGTGGACACCAGTCATGAGCGTGCAGTGGATAAGTGGTTAGTGCTGTGGGCCCTGGTTTGTATCTTGGTCAAGACACTATCTGCATGGTGTTTGCATATTCTCCCTGTGCTTTTGTGGGTTTCGTCCACGTACTCCATACATACTGGTAGATTAACTGATTCCTATACAAATTGGACCTAGTATGTGTATGCATGCAAGATGGGAACCTCAAAGTGGTTGTAAAGGCTCAAGCTCTTTTAACTTCATGCACTTTATGCGTAAAGGTAGAAAACCTTTTCTGTGCAGCATCCGCGCCAGTACTCACCTAAGCCCACTCTTGATCGAGTGATGTGCACTGGAGTCTTGGCTATACCGGAACTCCCTCTCCTCATTGGATGAGACAGCAGTGGGAGCCATTGGCTCCTGCTACTGTTAATCACAGCCAGTGAGCTAATGAGAAGAGAGCGTGGGCGGTGCAGAGCCGCGGCTCCATGTGTGAATGGACACATGGAGCAATGGCTCAGGAGCGTGCCAGCTTGGGTGCCCCCATAGCAAGCTGCTTGCTGTGGGGGCAACCGACAGGAGGGAGGGGCCAGGAGTGCTGGTGGGGAACCTGAGAAGAGGAGGATCCGGTCTGCTCTGTGCAAAACCACTGCACAGAGCAGGTAAGTATAACATATTTGTAATTTTTTTTTTCTTCAAATTTTTAGTATTACTTTAAACTTCCTATACATGGATAGAAGTTCAGCCGGGACCCAGCTGAATGTCGATCCAAGTATGGGTAGGCTGGTTGTACGAAAGACGATCTACCATTGAAGTTCTGTACACCCAGCCGGTTTTTCCCGATTGATTATCCGGTAGCTCTGATCTGTGTATTCTGATGGTGGGGAATGCTGCCGGCTGTGTCAAGATACAGTGACTCAGCAGGAAGGATTCCCTCATTCACATCATGTGTGGCTGGGGGGGACCAGATCATGTTTGTTTTTTCTTTTGTTTTTCATATTCAGCCCTCTGTTGGAACAAAAAAAGAATGAATAATATTGCCTGCCTTTTAGACAGTAATCTTTGAGGGCTGATTTTAAATTTAGTCTGTAAAGTTCTGTGAAACTTGTTGGTGCTATATTAATACCTTTTATTAATAATGATAAGAGAAAAACTGATGTTGCAATTCCTTACCAATAAAAATAAAAAAGGTGCGCTGTTCACTGGTGATTTCCTAACACAATAGATAAAACATGACCATAAATTCAAACTCGCATGTGTACATACGTACAAAAATCAACAACATAATTTCATAAAAAATCAACTCGCATGTGTACATACGTACAAAAATGTACATACGTACAAAAATCAACATAATAAGTGCTATAAATCAATGTCCATGGCACAAATGTACAAAATAAGTCCCAAATCCAATGTGAAAAAAGGAAAAGTGCTGCGTGCTGAATATAATTTCCAACAAGGTGCTATGGTGTTCACAGGTGCTTGCCAAAAAAACAGATCAGCCTCTTACCAGACCAAATTATCTGCTCCTTTTGATCACTTAATTTGAGGTCAGAGTCCTGATTCCACACTGACACTCGTACTATCAATTTCAAAAAGGATGGATGGACAGCCGCAGGCTCACCCGGGAACGGATTCCTCACACCAAACCACTCTCCATGCGATGTAAAGAAGGATTAAAACAGAGGAGACTTCATAGTGCAATCCGTTAAAAATAAAGGTTTTATTTATTATTACGTTGTGCTTACATAAGGTGCATGAAGGCAATACACTAATTCTAAACAGCCGCGGTTTCATTCCACCGGCCGGTACGTGGTGACGTCACAGAAGACTCCGCCCGACGCGTTTCCCCACAACTGGCGTCCTCTGGGATTGGAGCACCTTGTTGGAAAATATATTCAACATCCAGCACTTTTCCTTTTTTTCACATTGGATTTGGGACTTATTTTGTACATTTGTGCCATGGACATTGATTTATAGCACTTATTATGTTGATTTTTGTATGTATGTACACATGTGAGTTTGAATTTATGGCCATGTTTTATACATTTAAATTTTTGGTTGTAACATGACAAAATGTGGAAAATTACAAAGGGTATGAATACATTTTCAAGGCACTGTACATACTAGGGCCAATTTAGACAGGATCCAGTGAACCTAGCAATGTCTTTGGAGTGTGAAAGGAAACCGGAGTCAATGGAGGAGACCCACGCAGGCACAGGGAGAACATGCAAGCTCCAGGCAGAGAGTGTCATGGTTGGGATTTGAACCAGTAACCCTAGTACTGCTAGGCGGCAGTGCTGACCACTTAGACACTGTGCTGCCCATGTTAAAGTAGTCCATTATATTGATGGACCTGTCGTGAAGCTTGGGAAGGGAAGAAACCAGTTACTTGACTCCGGAATCTAGGTTATCATGTCTGTATCAGTATACCTCTTGTACGGGTATCAGGTAAGTGTTCTGATGTTGGGTCAGATTCAGGTACTTGCATTGCTTGTAATTAACCTCCCTGGCGGTATTCCCGAGTGTAGCTCGGGGTAAAGTTTCAGCACCACAAGCGGTAACCCCGAGCTACACTCGGGCTTACCATGGGGCGCTGCTCCAGGATCCCTCGATCACTTACCTTGTCCTGCGCTCCCGCGATGTCCCTCCTGCAGTGTCCCCAGCAATGTAATCCGGCGGATGCCGGCATCTGTCATCTGGGTTCCGTCCCCTGCGATCGTCGGGACGTATGGGGGACAGAACGGCGGGAAATTTGAAAATGACAAAAAGTGACATTCACAAAAATCACTAAAATCACATAGTAAAACATTACTGTATCAAACCATTTCACATACATTTTGTCCCGAGTGCTTTGTCCTGTGCACTGCCTTCATTTTTACTGTTCTTTCTGCCTGGAAACTGAGAAACGTCCATGGCGTCCAAAAAGCGCCCCTTTAGGTCAAAAGCGGTTTTAGACCAGCTAGAGAACAGCGATAGTAAATCAGAACCACTTGCAGAATTGAGTGATAATGATTCGTGGGGAAATTCATCATCAGACACTGAAAACGATATTGCGACTTTGCTCAGTGATGTGCGAACTTGGAGCTATATTTCAAATTTCAGTGTTTTTTGGTTTGATTATATTATTGAATTAAATTTATTATTATTATTATTATTATTATTATTATTTTTTATTATTTATTAAATTATAATTTATGATTTTCAAGTTTTATCATATCCGGAATGTTTACTAGACTCTTGTTCGGACAGATTTCAGTGAGTTATTCCTAAGAATTACAGGCCTACAATAAAAAACGCCAACTTTCCATGCAAAATAATGGTACCGCTTTCAGCACCAAAAATCTGAAATGATCATACCGCCAGGGAGGTTAAAAAAAAAAAAATTAATTTAGGCCTCGTTCACACCATACATGCAGGGAAACTGACGCGTAGATTTCACTTGCAGAGGCATCAATTGACATCGGCTTTCATGCACGCTTCATTGAGTTTTATACACGTTGCAGATTCCTGCGCAGAAAAAATCTGCACGTGATACTAGTGTTGTAGTGTGAACAGAGCTCATAAAGAACAATTCATTTTGTTGTGCCCTTGCCGAATGCGTGCAGAGAAACTGAGGTCTCCGCATCATGGTGTGAACAAGCCCTTAAACGTGTATTGATGATTACAGAGCTGCAATAATTTGTGTCCTTTTATATCTGTGTGGAGTTCAGCTTCAAAGACAACCCGAGGAGGCTCCAGAGCACTAAGGTGATGGAGTTATTACAAGAGATACCTGATGTCATTATTGCACCATTCTGGCAGAGACTTTCATGTCACATTGAGCTTGGAACAGAAGTTGTATGCTCCTGCCGTCCGTGCTGCTTGGTCCAGACAGCAATAGTTAACTAATACCAAATGAGGTCAGGAGGATAAGATGGGGGTTAAGTCCTGGTTCACATCTGTGCGGGTGGTGCCGCTGCGGATCCGCACAAAAATCCATGCAGCCGCACCACCCACACAGAGGAATGCGGACCCGCAGGAGGGTGCCATTAGTTCTAATGGCACGCCACCCGCACTGAAAAACTCAGCCGTATTGGAAACCGAGGTTCCCGTGCGGGCTGCGTTTTCAGAAGTGCAGGGACTTCTTCCCTGCGTGTCCCGGGGCATGGGAGTCCATTCAAATGAATGAGCTCTCGTGCCCGCGCAAAACACGGCCGCATATATTTGAACCAGGGGTAAAGGGAATTTGTCTTGAAGCAAATTACCTGTGTAAGAAATTCCAAATGGAAGCTGCCGTTGTCTCCTAGACCACATATAGTACTAGTTCCACGGCACTGAAATGAACCCCATTCAGCTTCACCACCCTGGAGCAATTGACATAGAAAAAAGGAAAAAAAAAAGTTTCTCACTAAAGCTCCATTCATTCCTCCAGCTTCTTTAATGAAGGCCCATGGTTCTAATCTGGAGCCATGGAGCTTGCGGACTCCTGACATAAATCATTATGTTAGTGCTTTCCAGGTGGGGGCTAACCCGGTGATGGGACGATTGGCTGTCCATTTTTTGTTTTTTCCTTGCTTTTATATCATTGCTGCTCAATAAATCTACAGTAAATTGTAGATCATTTCCACATTAGGAATACATTGATTTGTGAGTTAAAATTTCCTGCTGATGTAGCTTATGTTCAGACAAACGGCAGCTCAGGTCCAGTTGATGAAAGCACGGATGCAGCTGAGATCTTGTTAATATTCATCGTTGAGCAGCAGTCAGTGGAGCTCTCTGTTTAGGCTCTGTTGACTGACTTCACTGTTCCAGAATGCCATACAGACTTTTCCCTGGTTTAACACATGACCGCTTTTAGTAGCTTGTCTGTTTCGGAAAGTGATAGTTTTCCAATCATGGCCTGACTCTTAATTCTTCTAAAAATCATTGCACTGTAAAAAAAACTAAAAAGGAGTTCGGTCCCCCATCAAAAAAAAATTTAAAGTCAGCAGCTACAAATACTGCAGCTGCTGACTTTTAATATTGCCTGTCCAGGCATCCAGCGGTGTCCTCACCCGAGCCAATTTGTTAGTCGGCTATCGGGTGATGGCACCGCCATCTTAACTAAGGGAAACTGGCAGTGAAGCCTTGTGGCTTCACAGCCGGGTTCCTACTGCGCATGCATGAAGCCCGCTGCGCTTTGTGAATGGGCACGCTCACCCGTCCCCCGCAAAAGGTGCCGAATGTGAAGGGGAGGCAGATAAGCGAAGCTTCCCCTATTGGGTGGAGCTCTGCTTTAGTAATTATGTTACCAAAGCGAAAAATCACAAATCAGGGTGATGTAACAGATTTGTCTCCTTTAAATACAGTAAAAATGTTGTTTGAAAACTGGCACTAATCTCCTAGTGAGTGAAACACGTAAGAGAAAAGAGAAAACAGGTGGCGCCCACACCTAGTGCATTATCCAAGGTTTATTGTAAGGAGTGAAAGAATAATAAAAACATACTCACAGACGAAGCATGTATCTAAGAAGCATAGAAAAATGACAATGGCCACAACGGCAGGCAAGGTGTTCTCACTGTCAGTGCGGTCAAATGGCTGACGCATTTCGGGGATGAATCCCTTTCCTCAGAGCTGATGACCAGCCTCTGGTGCAGATGTGTGATGAATGGAAAGTAGGAGCCTTGCTGATAGCCCATCCTAACCACGTGCAGCCCCATTTAGGTAGTACCCACCGAAAGCAACGGGGTGTGATTCTGCATGAGTATATCCCCAGCTACAGTCTCTGCAGCTAACGGGGGAATCAGTTGGGGAAAAAGTCTGAACCAATCACAGGGTTTTACCACCTCCTAAATGCTACTGTGAACGATTCCTCAGCGGCTCTGTTTTTTCTTTTTGGTGCTTTAAGTATCAGTGGGTTACAGGACCCATTGGAGCGAGCATTCATCTGTCAGTGGAGATGAGACGGAAGGCTTCAATCACAGTGGTTGGGGTTGTCTCAAAGCCCAGCACATACCAGCTTCAAAGCAGTTGTACGCGTATCTGGTGCCCACCAAACTTGCTTGACAACCATGGGTAAGATAGGTGTATTGTTAAATGGTGGCTGATGTGGCTGTACATTTTAAAGTAGTAGTAAACTCAATTTTTTCAATTGTACCTATAGGTAAGGCTATAATAAGGCGTATCTGTAGGTGCAGTGAATATCTCCTAAACATGCATCATGTAGGATATATTCACTGTTGTAGCCGGTGGCGAAGCCGTGACTCCCACATGCATACCAGGGGCGGACTGACCATTTGGAAACTCAGGCACTGCCCGAGGGCCAGGGGTCAGTAGGGGGCCCCGTGAGATGCCCCTGGTACCTTTTTCATAGGCTCTTTTGAGTTTGGGCAAGGACACAGGGGCCCCATGATCCCCTATTGCCCGGGGGCTCCATGAGTTGTCAGTCCGCCCCTGGTACATACCCGTGAACCCAGGAGGAAGAACGGGTGAAGATGGAAGTCCTGTCAGAGCTTTCTACTGCTTTAGGAACTAGGGCTGAGGCACCCCGCAATGTTTGATACTGCGGTCTTATTCAGTTATTTTTAGGGATGCACCGAAATTTCGGTGGCCGAAACGATTCGGCCGAAAACACCCCTTTTGGCCGTCGGCCAGAATGGGGAAAAAAAAGCACCGATACAGGTGCCGAAAAAACCCCGCCCGCCGCTGCTGCTCGGTAGTTCTCAGCCTTACCTGAGAAACCATCAAATGAAACCAGCACTGGGCATAGAGGTGAGTGAAGGAAAGATGGCCTCCACTCATCTCTATGCTCTTGGAGGACTGGAGCAAGGTCACTTCTGGTCCTGACCATTTTTTTTTTTTTTTTTTTTTAAAGCATTAAACCAATGCTTTTTTTTTTATCCAATGCTGTACATTGCAGAGGAGAGATGTGAGGTCTTATTGACCCCATATCTCTCCATAAAGAGGAGCTGTCACTAATTTATTTCTATCACAAGGGATGCATGCTTTTCTTGTGATAAGAATAAAAGTGTTTAAAAATTAAAAGGGACTGTGCAAAAAAAAACATTAAATAAAAAAAAAAGTGCTCCCGTCCCCCCGTGCTTGCATGTAGTTTTGAACACATACGTAGGCCATGCCCACATATGTAAACGGTTCAAACCACACATGTGAGGTATCGCCACAAGCGTCGGAGCAAGAGAAATAATTCTCGCACTAGACTTCCTCTGTAACTTTAAACTGCTAACCTGTAGAAATTTTTAAAGCGTCACCTATGGAGATTTTTTTAGTACCCCAGTTTCACGCCATTCCACGAGCGTACAAAATTTTAAAGCGTGACATGTTGGGTATCTATTTACTCAACATAACATCCTCTTTCATATGTTGCAAACAAATTGGGGTATATATTTTTTTTGTTTGTTTTTTTTTTTTTTATCAAAGTGTATTTTTTACCAAAAAATATATATTCATTTTTAAAAACTGTGCATTTTGGGTTTTTGGCCAAGTGCATTTGGAATCTTCGTTTTTTGGTTTCAGCACCAAAATTTTCATTTGGTGCACCACTAGTTATTTTGTTCCCCTAGACCAGTGGTTCTTAACCTGTGGGTCGTGACCCCTTTGGGGGTCGAATGACCCTTTCACAGGGGTCGCCTAAGACCATTGGGAAAACACACATTTCCGATGTGTAATAGCAGCTACTGTGTAGAAAGCAGCTACTGTGTAGAAAGCAGCTACTGTGTAGAAAGCAGCTACTGTGTAGAAAGCAGCTACTGTGTAGAAAGCAACTACTGTGTTGAAAGCAGCTACTGTGTTGAAAGCAGCAGTATTGGAGGTAAAACGACACATGAATTATAATTACTGGGTAAATAATTTTATGGTTGG